GCCAGCGTCCTTGCCAAATTACCACCCCCACCGTTCCTCAGTCAACTACCGGCGGACGCTCGAGCAAAAGTTGAAGCAGTTCATCGTGATACTGTAAGGAAATCACTTTTTTCCTTGATTGCACATTTGTAAGGTTACACCAGTAAGCCAGGAAGTATATTCTAGACATTATCTTGGAAACAACGTCATGAAAAGATCCGTGCCATTATCGAAGCGTTGCCAGAAAATCTTCGCCCCCGCCCACCAGGCGGACCACACGGACCACACGGACCACCACCACCGGGAGGTAAGCAAATTTTAGAATCCGAAAAAACCTTCCTGAGAAAAAACAAAGCATATGCTTGATGAAACTCATTTTTGAAAATAGTCGATTTCCCCGATCTAGGAATGATCAATAACCGATACAAAAAAAGAAACGATACGAATTTTCGATGAAAACCTGCTAGTTGACGACACGTAGTGTTACAGTATAGGAAACATTTCGATTTTAAGAAAAATAATCTTCTCAGGACCTCCAAGGCGAAGACTTTGAGCGTAAAAGCCCAGCAAGACGATTTCATCAACTACTGATTGGCTCCCCATCTCAAAAATGGCCAGAAACATATGTTCCCGATTCTGAGTATTTACTAGTATTTGGTGCTACTATCGTGCAAGTGCTATTCAAAGATCTTCGTAATAAATAATTTGTTCTGCTGCTTTCCTTGTTATCGTTAGTAGTTCCTTTAGGTAACCCGCCTTTTTACTAGCATGTCCTGTCTGGGAGCCCTTCACCCACGAAAGGCCAGGCGTACTGTGAGGAATTTTCTCCTTACTGGATGAGGTAGGGGAAGGGAGAACGCAAGTGGTTTAGGCAGTCTGACGGAAGAGATAGTGTAGGCCAAACTCCAATTTTAATGGAGCTCCAAACCAGACCAATTCTCTCTTCCCCTTCCTTATCATTACCTCGCGCTTCTCCAGCGTCAGCGCTGTTCAGGGAGCAGAAAGAAGGAGGTGGTAGGGCCGAAATGCAACAACATCCTCTTGCTGTTCCAGTTTTTTGGTCAAATTCCTCACCACTACGTTGAGCCTTCTTTCTAAAGTAGATAGGCCATGGCATCCTATGTGTGGAGGCATGCGCTCTTTCATCCTCTTTTAACTTTCAGCTACTCTAACCTGCTAACCCTGATTTCGGCTAATCTAGCGCTTTTAAATGATCTGTTGGATCTCCTTAGCTTCTTATAGAAGTTCTAAGATCCAGCGTGTAATTAGAGCTATCTGTTGTTCCTTATGGATAATCCGCCACGGTGATGGGTCATATAACTTATGCCTTTCTAACTTCTTTACCCAACTATCTCCACAGAGCTGCCACCTGGATTCGAGGAGGTCCTACCAGAGGATGTTGTCGAGCAGTTCCACACGATTCGCGATAGCACCGCATTGACGGAAGAGGTAAGAACACTTCAGTTTTGCTGGATGAAAATTTTTTGATAATTTCCTCCCAACTCCTATGTGTTTCAGCAAAAACGCGAGAAATCTGACAAGATATTCTCTTCGCTGCCAGCTCAAATCGTCGACAAACTTCCGTGGCCACCACACTTTGAGGATTTACCCAAGGACACACTCGACAAAATCAAACAAATCCGATCAGACACGGTCAGTTTCTTTGATCGATTTATAGCCTTCTGATAACCGATCGATAATCGTTTTTAGTCGTTGCCGTGGGGAGAACGTCTTCATAAAATCTTCACGGTGATTGACGCACTGCCGGAAAATCTTCGTCCACCCCCACCACCGTTCCATAGAGGACCAAGAGGAGGAAGTGAGTCTTCTAGCATTTTAGACACCTATCAACTGGCATTCAACTCCTAAAGGGCGGGTCTAGATGATTTTATTTATCCGACTGGGATTTCAGGATTGCCACCTGGCTTCAAAGAGGCACTACCAAAAGAGATCGTGGAGAAAGTTAACGCTGTACAAGAGAACAAAGATCTAACCAACAAGGTACAACACTGAGGCAAAGTATCGAGCTTCTTGTACACTGCGCTTTCACGGTGGCCGGAAAGTGCTTCCCTGGGCCCTGAGTGGGCATAGCTAAAAAGAGGCGGAATGAGTTACCAAAATTTTCGTTTTTTAGCAAAAAGATGATAAAGTAGACGAAATTCTATCATCACTAACAGTCGAGGAAATTGATAAACTTCCACTTCCTCCATTCTTCAAAGACCTACCGAAGGATACCTATGACAAAGTCATGAAGCTACGCAGCGATACAGTAAGCCACACCATCTAATCAATCGATAACCGTAATTTGCCTTGGTCTACCCAACAATAATGAATGCCACCTTCAGAGTATACCTTGGAAGGAACGTCATCGTAAGATCTTTGCCATTATTGATTCTTTACCAGAGGATCAACGCCCACGGTTTCCATTCCATAGAGGACCACGAGGAGGAAGTGAGTTTTTTTCATTAAGGACATCTAGCAAGCTCTTTTCCTTGCGTTCCACCCACTTCCTTTCTGACTTTCGAGAAACGAAGAATAATGGGAAGGAGGGGCACTGAACTTTGAGACTTCAGTTTGGAAGGTATTCGAAAGCAAAAGAAGAGAGAGCAGCCCAACAGTTGATACATAACAGACCCTTTAATAATCAAATACTGCTAACTAATCGAGACAACTCGTCAACCGCAGAGCCCGCCTACCCCGGACTCCTTATCTGTGTCTATTCATATGTTCGACCACAATTTCAGGATTGCCACCTGGCTTCAAGGAGGCTCTGCCGAAAGACATCGCCGAGAAAGTGACCGCGATACAAGAAAACAAAGATCTATCCGACAAGGTACAACACTACCGCAAAGTATCGAATACTTGCATATTGTCTTTCTTTGGTAGCCAAAAAGTGTTACTGCCTTGAGTGGGCGGAGCTTTCCCAGTGGGCAAAAACTTACTGTATGCCCTGGACATTGAGTTCCAAATATTTTTCTCTGTTTCAGCAAAAAGATGATAAAGTCGACGAAATTCTATCGTCACTATCAGTCGAGGAAATTGGAAAACTTCCACTTCCTCGGTGCTTCAAAGATCTACCGAAGGATACCTATGACAAAGTCATGCAGATACGCAGCGATACAGTAAGCCGCCTAATCAATCGATAATTTGTCTTGTCCGATAATAATCTATATCACCTTCAGAGCATGTCCTGGAAGGAACGCCATCAAAAGATATTTGCCATAATTGATTCTTTACCGGAGGACCAACGTCCCCGACACCGACACCGACCCCATCCTCCACCTCCACCACCGTCAACGGTCAAGCAAGGTAAAGAAACGAAAACATTCGGAAAACTGGAGGTGGGACCGTAAGATGCAGATTTCTAAAGGCCAACAGTTCCGCATAACCTATCGGGTTCAATTTCAGGACCAAAAATGACGGATAATTTTCACGGAAAGAATATCGCCTCTGAAAACTGGTAGTGGATGATTAAGAGGTGGGGGTGAAAGAAAAATTCAGATAATTAGTGCTTCATAAGACCGTAATCCGGCATCATTCACTACCATAGCCATCAATTCACTCACCTATTCTATCACCTATTTTGACATTACTCCATTCATAAAGAAAATCAGGATTAGTACGATTAAGGCACAGTTCGTTTTGAATATGGTTCCGGACTGGGGATGCGCCCCCACACCAGACTCCCATTCAGAATCGTAGCGGCGTAATGAGTGCGTATGAAGCCATACAATGACTTGCGGTGGCCAGTCAATGTACAAGTTAGTGCTTTGATCCTCCCAGACGAGTCTGGTACCAATTCACCGACCCAGGAAGGATGGAAGGCTTGTTTGGCCCGGGCGAATATCGATCCGGGATCCGAACCTGTTAGACAGAATGTGGAGATTTCTTATCAGCGGAAATTTTTTCGTTTTCAAGAAAGCCGAAAGAGCATTGCCTAGTCAATGTCGAGTCGAAAAAAGACCTGAAAGGGCACATTGAGTGCTTAAAACGTGTCCTTCATAACCAAAAGAGACTCGTTCATTGGGGTTGTAGAGTCTGACACCATTCGAAGTGGAGCATGTTTGTTGGAAATGCAGTTACCCGGTATACGCCAACACACGTTATTCTGCTTGGCAGTGAGTCTTGTGGGATTACCTTCATCGTCCTGACCTTGTCAAACCTTGGAAAGGGATAGTTCCAAAAGACTGATGGATTTCTGCTGAATTTCTGGTTTTCTCTGACACTCATAAGATATTTTGCATCCATTCGTTCACCCTGTAAGCCACTTAAGACAGATTATCGCGAACTGTGTCTTGAAAAGGAATGCTTCAAGAGTTGGGAGGGTTCAGATTTGAATGATGTAGTATTACCGACGAATAGCCTATATCGTCGAATACGTGCCAAAGCTCTCATCATGCCGGAATATGGCCCCAAGCTGCTATCCATATAAAAGAATATCGATTCATTGTATTATATGTAAGAATTCAATTCCAGCTAGAACGTTTCGTCAGATCGTCAATGTCCGAATTCAAAAGTAGCAGACTTCTCTGGATCGTCATAATGTCCTATTCCATGACAGTACTGTTTGGAAATTAGTAATATATGTTGCATAAAGTGTACCTCATTAAATGAGTGGAAGTACAAAGAAACCCTAGGATACAACTAGGAAAACTCAAGTATGAATAAAATCAAAACACGCATGAGTCTGTAGGTTACCCTAAAGTCACGCGCCGTACCTAACAGAAAACTAAATCACCCTACCAGGAACGAAGCCATCTCGACCCCTCTTGAAGTCGTACACGTCCAGGACACCAAAAGAACGATATTGTGAAAAAAAAACATAAAAGTGCTTCTTCTTTTGACGATTTGTATATATTATGGTAGGCCTGGCGGTGAAGGTTGGTGTACATTCTAAAATACTGAGAGGTAAGGCCATGTTAGGGGGACAGAACTTTCCTATTCAGGCGAACGATGGGATATGACGACCGACACATTTACAGATTCTGATATGGTAAACTACTAGTCTACCATAACCATTCGAGAATTTAACTGGGTTAGTCATTCACAGCTTCCCTAAAACACGCTATGAAAATCGGCCTAGCCAAGTGAGTCAGCACGCTGACCTTGTGGATGAGAATCAGATGTCTTTAAGATAAAAAGAACCGGTTATATAGCTAATGGCATGATCACGCTGTTCAATGTACCATGATTTGTAAAAGTGATGCTAAACATTAAGTAGTTGCATGAACTGGTGGAAAGCCAAACATAAAGCAGTCACTGCGATTTCCGCTACTATTTCACAGTCCCCGAGTCTGCACTTGCTTCATGCAGTAACTGATAGGAGTAAATTTTGAAAACGTTCCTCTTCTACAAGCTACACAACCCCACAACCCCGATGGAGTGGGAGCGATTGCTAGCTTAACTGCACTCCTGGTGAATGTGCATGTGTACCACCAGTTCGTGTCCCTGCAGCTCCTAGTGAGCAGTCAGACTCTTTTGCATCGTAGACTCGCGTTCTTATTNCCAAAATGGCCTTTTCATCACTGGTACACCTTCAAACAGATGAAACATGTGTAAAACTAGATTCATTCGACCTAAAAAGTTCCCTGAGAATCTCGAGCTTAACGACGACGAGTTCCATCTTCGAAGAAGATTCCTCCATCGATAGCGCAATATTTCGGGCAGATACCAGGCTCTCCTTGTGATCCACCATTTCCAGGTGGTCCTGGTGGTCCTGGGTTTCCAGGTGGTCCAGGTTGACCGTTGGATCCAGGGGGTCCCTTAGGTCCGGGTGTACCTGGAATGCATGAGATGGAACACGAATTCTAAAATTCGCTGTCTTTACCTATAACAAATATGTGACAATTTTTACCTGCTCCACCGCCGGATCCGGGTTGTCCATCAGGTCCTGGCGCTCCAGGTGCTCCAGGAGGTCCTGGTGGTCCAGGTTGTCCAGGGGTAGGTGGGGTAGAGACGGCATCTTGACCAGGCTGTCCTGGTGCTCCAGGTTGTCCAGGATTACCGTTAGGACCAGGTGGTCCCTTGGGTCCGGGTGGTCCAGCATTGCTGCCAGAGCCGCTGTTTCCTGGTGGTCCGTCCGTTCCGGGTCCTCCAGGGGGTCCTGGTGGGCCAGGAGGTCCAGGAGGTCCTGCTGGGCATGGCTGGCATGGGGGTGGTGTTTGTGGCCCGCAACCACCTCCTCCGCCTCTGCCTGGGTTTCCTGGCATACCATTGGCTCCAGGCTTTCCAGGTCTTCCAGGTCGTCCAGGATTTCCACCGGGTCCCGGTGGTCCAGGAAGACAGCAACCGCTGCATCCACCGCCACCGCCGCCACCGCCACCGCCACCGCCGCCACCGCCACCGCCTCCGCCGCCGCCGCCACTGCTACCTCCGCCATTTACACCTTCACTGTATCCAGCCTGACGGGCGGTTCTGTTACCGCTTGGCAAGTTCTTGATGTGGGTGACTTCGCCCCAAATGTCGCTGGCGGAGCTCTGAAATCAGGAAGAATCATGTCCAAAATAAGAAAATAGTAAATTGCGAACTTACCTTGCAGTGACGGATCTCGTCGTACATCGAACGTTTCACCTGGTTCACATAGTTGTAGACCATCGGAAGGGTGACACATACAGATAAGACGGCGACTACCGAAAAGGTGACAGCCGAATAGGCTACAAATCGGTAGGCCTTCAAACGATGGTCGGAATCCATCGTGAAACGGTGACACTTTCGCTGCCATCGAAGCTTTTATAGGCGAACGGGGTATCGGGTTAACCTTGCCAATATCGCCCGTTCGTTATTTCGGTTTTCCTCTCTCTGCGATTATTAGGTCGCGCACTATTTCCGCATGCCGACGTTTTCAATGCCATTCGGTCGGTTCTTAGTAGAACTTATTGCAACTAATAGTATCGATAATGATTTCGATTTTACGCTATCCATGCTGTTTTCGCTACTGCTACTAGACACGCGCTTTTGCACGGTTCATTTGTGTTTAGGAAGTGAGTTGTTAGCGATAACAAGACTTTTAGTCCATATAATTGAATATTTACACTTTTTTTATATAAAAGCGTTACCTTTTACCCATTTAACCTCACTAAATTTCTCTTCGAAACTAATTGAGAGAAAATTAAATTTGAAAAAAAGAACTGATCAACGTGGACAGGAAACCTTCATAAAGGATTTCGCTTCCACTCCCGGTGATTTCACTCTCAAAACTGTAGAAAACCTGTCCACTGCACAACTTGGATACTCTGTTCACGAGGGGAGGAATGAAACGAAGAATATTCCTCGAGGAAAGTGTGTTAAAAACTACAAGTCTCACTGGACCTAGAGGGGGATCTAAAAAAATCTCAAGGAATTCATTTTGAACCTTCAGATACGTGCATATCCATGTCCAAGGATACTACTCATAGGTATTCACTAGTTCTTGCTCAAGTTCCCTCTGTGTTGGGGCGACAGCCAAGCTCTAAGCTGAGTTTGCAAAAAAATTTCGATTCAAATTGCTTCAATAATGAAGTGGATTTGGAATGATCCAAGTTTTTCATTCCCATCTGGGGGAAAATTCTTCACAAAATCCCAAACACTGGCATCGGAACAGACATGGCTAATTAACAGTCGAATTTGGAATCAAGAAGAGTACATAGTACAAATATCAGAAAAATTTTATTTCTACTTATTTATGTGGAAGGTGGAGCCTAATATAATTGGAAGGAATTATTTGAGTTTGAAAGCTAAACACTCGAAACTGCTCCGTGAAACCACACATATATACACTCACACTTTTGACTTAAAAGTGCGTCGTTGTAGAAATACTTCGAGCAATTTAGAAGAATCGGCGCTTTCGTTTTTCAGAACGTCCCTTTCAAAATCATCAATTTGGCAGGTTTGCCATTTTATTGTTGTTAATAGAAAATCATGCGACACAGTTGCAAAATGGATAGCGTGGTCCCTTTTGACGATACGTTCAAACGACAACACCCATAATAGTTTCAGGTGGGAGGAGATGGCTTAGGCTCAGGGAGCATGTTTGAGTATGAACATATGTAAATGCACTTGGAGTAATTTTTCTCACCATAAGATTGAAGTAACGAGTTCAAGTCTATGGGAGATACACTCTTTCTAGAAGTAGTAAGTGTTGTAACTAACATCTGCAAATTAATTGAACTATGAAATAAAGATAATGAAACAGAAAGTTCTTCTGAGAGGTCTAATTTATAAAAAACGAAAGGTTGGAACAATGGCGAAGTAAATAGACCACACTTTGCGATCTCTATAACTTGCGACTGTTCCACCTGACTACCCTTGAATACTACAAAGTCTTGGGCTGAATGGTGTGTTTGGAGCTCTATCGCATTCAGTGAATCCGACTTTAATGAAAGGTTGAACCCTGTTTAAAGGCCTATTCGATCTACACAATAAGCCAGTGGATTTTCAGAATCGGCGATACCTTTCCAACCGCACAAAGATCTCCCCAGACCAATGTCAATTATTCATGAACATATTTAAGCACGTCGTGAACGTACCTGATTCAGCTGGAAAGATGGTGTCTGATGGGTGACAATCTTTGAATCACACAAAGAATTGCACCTGCCGTCATGGTTACGAGATGAAAGGTGACTGCATCTAAAGAGAACAGTCGCTCAATAAGGAGCACACTCACTGACAGGTAGTTTCTCGAGGTTTTCATCCAATTAACTTATTGTTAGCTCTGATTTCAATGTGTCTCACCAATAGTACTACCATTTGAGCACATATTCAGAACGAACAGAATTTCTGGAGGCAATACCCAAAAAAAAGTTACTTCAGTATAGATGCTTGGTACCATAAAAGTCTCTAGAACCTTTATCGCTGAGTACTACACTGATAAACCCCGCACTAGGAGAAATGCTGGATTCTCACGTAAATAGCATTGAAATGTGAGGCAGAAGGGAGTACCATATTGTAAAGGGGTTTCAGTGGCTGTTTTATAGGAAAATTATTATGGAAAATCTTGTTCTTGTGGAAAAACGAACAAGTTTCCAAGGTCTCCTCGAGTTATATTCAATCAAAACATTTCCTTTCACACCGCTACCATTTACATTATCACTTATTTGCAGAGAGCCGTGAAATCCCGGTCGTGTCAATAATCAATGGAATGGGTTCTATTCAACTTGATGGTTTCTATGAAACATATGAGAGAAGTGCGGTGTATTTCGAAATTCAGCGGAATACAATGATAGTCTATGGCATAATTACTGATTTGGTGGCGGCTTTCACTCTATATATAATAAAAACAAATGATATTAACCTGATGGGGCCGTTTCGGCTACTCATGTACAGCAATGTCATATGCCCTGCTTTAGCTTGCAATATTATTTGCCTCGTATGCGTACCGTACATTCTGGTACCGTATCCGGTGATTCTGAATTTGGGCCCACTAAGATTTGGTAGTGTTTCTACTTTAGTTTATGCTGCTATTGCATTTTGGGCTGGACTTTCCAGCTATTTTAGTGTTATGTACTCAATATTCTTAAATTACATAACTGTCTGTCATTACTGGCTTCTGAAGACGGCTGCTTTCACTATTGTGAAGTGGGTCTCCATTGTTGTCCCGTTAATGTTTTTGACCATTTCCACTATCATTATATTGTTCATGTTATTGCGTGACACCTCCTCGATACCCTTTATACTGGCAGCGGATCCAAGGAATGCACTCATTGTCACGACTTTTGCTCCTTTGGTCATAAACTTCAGATCGAACGGTAGTGATCTATGGCTAATATCATTACCCATCCTCTACGCCATCTCAGCGATCCCAAGTGCTGTAATGATCATCAGGTAAGAACTTTTGGTATCGACAAGGTTTCATCTACATAGAATGCTTGGCTATTGTTTAGGGGTGTCAAGTATACATATATGGGAGGGGGAGGGGTAAGGAGGAGGGATAAGGGGAAATGACAACACTTTAATATGTCATTTGTATTCATTTGTATTACAATATACAGGAAGCACTTGCGGAAATTGAAATTTATCATGGGCTTTCTATGGTTCCTTGAAGCGATGACAAAACGAGCCAAATAATATAACACGTAGCTTCACAAGCAATCGCTGAGCTAACTGCTTCTCTCGGTTCTTTTTTTGCTGTCGCTTACTCCTACAGACTTCCTCGTTTTTCATCTTCCTTATCCTTGGTCTACCCTTAAAGGCACCGTTTACGATAAATTTAGGGTAACAAAAAGAAATAGAAAGGGTCAAAAAAGAGCTGGAAAGGGGGTTGGACGAGTTTCACATTGGAAGAANTCAAACCATGTGCAAATCTCCGAAACCATTTTTTCGTGAACAGTGCCTTTAAACGCTTCCATAAACCATCATCGACCGACTCGGAGGAAAGGACCACGAGACCGATATAGAAGTAAAAGAGGTTCAAGTACGCTGTAGTCCATGCGCGAGCAGCACTAATATCATAGCTCTGGCCTTAGGTTCCATAGGAAAGGCTCTGCACATGGCTGCATACAGATTTTGCTTGATGTACCCATTACTCCTATGATTATGATCGAGACATAGATGATTTTGCTAACCTATCTTGATATTATTTTGTACCTTACAGCGAAACGTGCAAAATAACTACATGTTTTCCTAATATCACTTTATTTATTTTAAGAAATTTTAATACCTTCCATTCGCGAAAGATACCTATAAATCATTGAAGGCCTAGAAGGGAACCGGGGATCGCATACGCTAGGAGCGTCTGTTTTAAGGTACCCGTAGACATTAACGTTCCAAGATATCCGCCCTAGAGGAGCGGAGCTGTAAGGCCTAGTGGGCTGTGTGACAAAGAGAACTAGCATATGAGCACGGCATAAGACCTAAAGAGATTCACTCAGTTTGTTCGTAATTTTCAGATGGAGTACCGCTACACGGGAGCCGAGAAAAGCGTTCATAGTCAGCGCGGAGGAACAGATACGAGATTCACAAAAATGAAAAATGTGTTAATGAGTCGGGAATTTTCTCTTGGAAAAATATGCATTGCAGGATTATTCTTCGTATCAAAACGAAAAAACACGAATTCTCCAGAAGAACGTACCGTCTCCATCTTAGTGTGGTTACTGCTCTTTCCATGTATTGTGCCATACTACTCGTTCAACTCGGTTTTCCCGTTCTATTGTTCGCCATTACAATGATCTTCCAACTGCAATGGATTAAATCAGCGTAAGTCTACAAACTTAGATTAGCTATTTACAAATAACATGGCACAGAAGGCACTTCTGTACATGTTTAACTGAAAGTGAAAAGATGATATGCCAGGTGTTGTTTGTGTGTTCCCGATCACCTTGTCACTGACCCATCAACAATGAATGTGCTCCGGCATGCCAGCTATGCTTCCATTTCTACAGTGCATTAAGCCTCCCATTTTTCTCAATTTGAATCTTGCAAAAATGACTCGATGGGTTTTTGACTTTAAAGGCACAGTTCACGATAAAAATGGTTTTTGAGATCTACGATATCTGGCACTATTAGGTCGGAAAACGGGCTAGTTAGGAAGTTATAAAGGCTCAAAGATAAGCCCGTGTGTATCCTCGGATAAGTTTCACCGTCACCGATCACAAGGGAACCCATGTAGGAAGTTCAAACAACTTGTCATGACCCATAGCGACAGTGAAAGACAGTTCTGTACAGTTCTGGCTTGATGTAGTCTGTCTTTGTGCAACTGCAATAACTGAAATCTCGTCCGAATACCATTCCCATGTTATTTCCGTCGTGGCCATCTCGTCCAACCTCTGTCTTCCCTACTTTTCATATTCTACTCAACCATATTCTACTCAAAATCGGCGAACTCTCTCGCTTTCTTCATTACCTATGAACTATTTCGAATCTATATTTACGCTTCTCGAATAAAAAAGGGTATCTCAAAATTATCGTGAACTACGCCTTTGACAAAAATTTTTACAATTTTCGAATTCCGTCTTGAAAAATTCCCAATGACTCCAAGTGAATGATGTAGCCTGCTTTTGAATGAAAGACATTATATTCTAGGAGTTGTAATTAGTAAGAAATTTCGGCAATATCCACCATCAACTGACCTCTCTTACAATAAGCGTATCTTAATGATATCGAATACTAAAGAATAACTTTCAGACCATACGCTCAGACTCTGCTATTTATTCCGGTCTCCTTCACCGCTATATCTACAAGTGTTATGTATATGATCGTTATTCGGCCATTCCGTCAAGCTGCCATAAAACTAATTAAAAAATCATTACTATTTAAATCTATGTCTGTGCTGTGGTGTAAAAAAGTCACACCGTCGGTATCTATATCGCATATTAGCTTAAATGATCAAATATTTTCCCGCCATAGAAAAGATTAGTTTCTAATACAATACAGGTTATCGGCATAGGACCACTGATATTGAACTTAGAACTATTATTACCCCTGAACTATGATAATTAACGATTTTATTTAGTGTTGTATCTCCGCCCCTGTCTTGAGGCTTTTAACAGTTATGTGCATTTGCGATTCAAAGTATTTCTACTATCCCCAAATGATATCCTCTTTGCTTTGCACTGACTTGTCCCATTGGTGTAGGCATGATAAAGATAGAATTTTAATGTATTGCGTGCAGTTGCAAAAGATAAAAATGATAAAAAAAGGAAATAACATGTACCAACCAATCATACGACCTATTATCACAACCGGGCATAACACGGTGTGCATCATACCTCACCATATCTCGACATAGGCCAGTCATTTCTACGTTGATGGGAAACGCTCAGGGACATGGTTCGCCGTCGAAAAAGGTACCACTTCTTGTTGCATCTTTTTCTCAGAACTAATCACAAGCTGTTGTTTCAGACGGAGCCAGCCAACAGTGAAGTAGTGTCTACGCCCTCACGTGCTCAAGAATTGCCTAATCCTAAAGATGAGACACGGCCAACCACATCTACACCTCATCAGAAAACGGCTATTCGTGAAGATGAAGGACGGCCATTAGCCACAGCTCGTGAAAAAACGGCTACTCGTGATGATGGAGGACCGCCAGTGGTCTCACCTCGTTCGAAAACGGCAACTGTGGAAAATGAACGACGGCCAATGGACACACCTGTAAAACCGGCAACTGGAAATGACAGATTGCCTACTCCAGCACCTAGCCGAAGATTAGCAAATCGTCGTGACGAAGAATTGCCCATATCTGCACTTGCTCAACAAAACGGAACTCCTAAAAAGCCAGTGGTAGGGCAGACTGAACCACTGCTCGCCCAGAACGCTGATAAAGAACCAGCAGCAGAACAAACCGAAACAGCGCAGGTAAAGGAACCTGCTAATACAGAGCCAGATCCAGGACAAGTTCAAGAAGCAGTTACCCAGAATGCTACAAACGAAGAGGCAGTTGTAGGACGGACTGATCCACTACCTGTAGAGAATACTGCTATTAAAGAACCAGTAGTGGGACAGTCCGATTCGCAGACCGAGCAAAATCCTGCTCGGGGAGAACCGATGGCCGGGCAGATCGAACCAATGCCTGTTCAGAATTTGGATAATACAGAGCCCGGAGAAGCAAAGACTGCTGAATTGCCACAAACACAGATTTCTACTAATGGTGAATCAGTGGAAGGACAGAGCCAATCACAGTCTAACCAGAATTCTGTAAACTCGGAATCTTCGGATAAACAGATCAAACCGCAGCTCAAACCGAGTATCTCTGGTAAAGAACCAGTTGCAGAACAGGCCGGGCAACCGTCTGCCCAAGATACTTCTGTTAGAGACCGTCAAGAAAATGAGCCGCTCAAGCGACTTGAAACGACAAACACTGCTGCCACAAAACCTGAAACAGCTGATAAATCCAAACCTACCGGCGAACAAGTCGATTCACCCCTTGTTCGACCAAAAACACCCGTTTGTAAACCAAGAAAATCTTCAGGAGAGAAGCTTCAACAGAAAGGTGACAAATCGCCAGCTCAAGCTAGCTCGCCTACGAATGGGAAGTCCTCGGACAGCCAGGAGCAAGATTTCTCTCGTGAACCAGCCAGTCCTCCTGCACGTGCACGAACACCGATGTGTGAAATACGGAGGCGATCGCCCCGTCAAAAGAAAGCGCGATCTCGTGGGAAATCCAAACCAGGACATGAGCTCGCATCAGCAAATGCAAAGGTGGTATTGCGAATCATTAAATAGGAAGGATAGCTTTCGATTTCCATTTTCAGAAAAAATCATTACGACATGGGATTGGGATTATGGACGAGAAGCTGGAGCGAATCTTAGCTGTGAGAACGCATTTTTCCCTTGAAACATAAATTTTTCCCAAAACTCACAAAAAAAAATGGAAGATCAACCAGCAGTTTGTTATGAGCTGAGAGGAAATCGCGCATTGGTATCGATAGTGATAAGCCGAACTTTCAGTGGTGCAGAAGCGAATTCAGTAAACAGTTACAAAGTTTCTGTAAAAGGAAACTAAGGAAGCGAAATCTGCCGTTTCAACCTGCCACAATGAGTGTAATTCGAACAGATATCGATTTTACGCTCGTAAAATCGATAAAGAATGCAATTTGCAAACGTAAGCGATCAACTGACGAAGCTCGAAAGCATGTAGAATGCTACTTCTCAGGGTATTTTATGAAAAACCGGTAATGATAGGACGGAGAATAATCCTCATGCCAGTTCAGTGACAGGAACAACTGGGCGGCATTGTACGCCCAGTTTGAGTCGCGACTTTTTCGTGCGCGACGAGTGCGACACTGGCCCAACAAAAAGGTCCCAAGGGCAGAATGAAATTTGGCGTCCTTGTCGGTACATTCCTTCCCGTTCCATATTGGGAATCGAGACGTGGATTGGAGGGTTTATCGAACTTGTCGCTGTTCTCATCCTGCTCTATTCTACCTCCTCATCTGAACGTCAAACTCCTTCAACTGAAGGAGTTTGACCTTAAAATTTTTAAGTCACCCCTAATGAATGAGATCTTATCAGGATCTGGAAAGTGAGGAATGGTATCACGGATTTATCCCGTTCGAGGACTTAGTGGGGCTTCTTCACAATGATGGTGACTTTCTAGTGAGAGCTATAGATCCAGTTGGAGAAAAGCCTCCATTGGTAAGTATCTTCTGATAGGTTCAACAGAGCCAGAGATTCTCCATTGACAACTATACCAATTGCGTATCTAGCTCGTGAATAGATGACGAAAGAATTTGAAATGATGATGGTGGGGGAGTGTACGGTGCTGGGGTATGCGTCACTTCGTGCGTCCGAGGATGCGTGCGGCAAA